TTGTGTTGAGTTGATTCATATAACTCTCGTATTGTGCGAACCCGATCGAAACGGATGTGTTTGTGTTTGGAGGAGGGGTGTTCGGGTTTTACTCCATACTTGGTTGAAAGGGAAAATGTTTTTTTGTGTGTGTGTTAGTGTGTGTGTGTGTAAAAGATGAGAGAAATAGAAGATTTGTGTAGGTAAAAAATAAGGTATATGTGTGTATTTATATGTAAAGTTAAAATAGGTAATTTTTTTTACTCTTAACTGTTCATCAACGGTAAAAAAAGTAACTGTTTTTCTCGATTTTATAGTGTTATGATTCGTTATTTGAACAAAGCCAACGTAAATGCTAATAATGGCAGAAAATGAGAAACGGGGGCGGTGTGCTGGAATGATAACACCGTTTTTTAATACACCGTCACGATAACGGAAGCGGACGTTGCCCACACCAATCGGTCTTATTTTATGTGACATGTCTTAGAGCATTGAGTGTGGGCAACTAGTCATAACACAATTTTGGTGCCACCTCACATGACACATCACCAATGGTGTTATAACACCAAGTGGAGAAATGGTCACCATGTTGCATCTTGTTATAACACCAACTTTTTTCCACTTTATAATTTATTTATTTATTTTTTTTTCGATTTTTTTTAATTTAAACAAATATTTTTTAAATATAACATAATAAATAAAACATGTTTAAAAATTATAAATAACGTATAATAAAAATAATTTTTAAAAATTATAAATAACATAGAAATTAAATTACATATAACATCCAAATTCAAAAAAAAATAAAATAAAAGTACAACGCTATTCGTTAAAAAAACATTTTTTTTTAAAAACTAAACGATATTCGTTATCGTTATTGTTACCATAGAAGATATAATCCGCCAAGTCATTTCGAAGTTGTCTGTATTTATTTGCATCCTGAATGTCAACGACTCAATGCAAATACTCTGCTGTTCTTGGTTGAAACTGAACGTGTCTAGGCTCCGTTGGGATATAGTGTGCAGTATTTCGTCCTTTATCTTCTACTACCATGTTATGCATTATGATACATGCATACATGATATATCGTATAGTTTCTAGTTCCAATGGACGTGCTGCATGTTCAACTATATTCCACTTCGCCTTCAGCACTCCAAACGCACGTTCCACATCCTTACGTGCGCCTTCTTGTCTTCTCTTAAAAAATTTGTATCGTTCTTCAACCGGGTGGCGGAATGCCTTCACGAATGTGGAATACTGAGGATATATTCCATCTGTAAGGTAATACCCATATTTGTATTTGTTTCCATTCACCGTGAAAGGAGCATTCGGGGCATTTCCATTCAAAAGATCGTCAAATATTGGCGACTGATCAAGAACGCTGACGTCGTTGTTGAAACCCGCAACCCCAAAAAATGCATGTCAAATCCATAAATCTTGAGAAGCAACAACCTCTAAAACCAACGAAGGTGATCCGTGATGACCACTTGTGTATTGCCCTTTCCATGCTACCGGATAATGTTTCCATTTCCAGTGTGTGCAATCAATGCTTCCGATCATTCCGGGAAACCCATGGCGTTCTTCATGCGCTGCATACAATTCTTGCAAATCATGTAACGAAGGTTTCCGTAATTACACGTCTCCAAATGTTTCAACAACATCCCTTGACAATGTATACAAACTCTCACTTGCGGTTCTTTCGGACATTCTCAAATAGTCGTCCATGGTGTCGGGTGACTCCCCCATAGCCATCAAACGAATGGCCGCAACACATTTCTGCAACGTTGTAAACCCTCGTCTACCTCTAGCATCATATCTCAATTGAAAAAATTCATACTTAAACATAAATTAACTACAGTTTAAAAATGTAGTACATTTGTTGTAAAATTAAAGAAACATGTAGTAGATTTTTATTTATTTTGTATAAAAGTATAATAAAGAAGCGATACCGGTTTTCCAAGGCGTTGGCGATCCGTAGGAACACATTCCTACTCAAACAAAATCTTCTTGTAACACCCATAAAATTTAAGCCAAATTAAAACATTTTAAATCATTCAAAAACCATTACGTTCATACAACTCGTTTTCAAAATAGTTTAAACATCAGAGTATCCCCCAGAACCATATCATATAAATCATAAAACATGAGGAGTGGTACGATCACGCCTTCGCCTTGCCACGATCTCCTGAAGTACCTGAAACAATACACTGAAACTGTAAGCCCGAAAGCTTAGTGAGTTACCCCCAAAATACCAACCACACATATCATACTCATAACATATCATAAATAGAACAGCCATGCACATCGGGTCTACTGTGTGACTGGTCCGCCCGCACCGGACCTTCAGTCCACCTGGTCCACCCTCTGAGTCTAGCCATGGACGTCGAGTCTACAGTGTGATTGGTCCGCCCGCACCGTGCCTTCAATCCACCTGGTCCACTCTCTGAGTCTACAGTATGACTGGTCCGCCCGCACCGGGCCTTCAGTCCACCTGGTCCACTCTCCGAGTCTACAGTATGACTGGTCCGCCCGCACCGGGCCTTCAGTCTATCTGGTCCACTCTCCGAGCCTCGACACGTCTGGTCCGTCCTCTTGGGGCCTTCAGCCTATCCGGACCGCTCGTCGGGCCTTCGGTCTAACCGGTCCGCCCTGGGTATGTTGGCCTACAGCACAAAGCAGGACCCGCCTCAACCCAACCCTAGTCCAAACAACCATGTGTACATAAACATATAATCATATAACAATTCACATCTAATCAAACCGATCTAGCAGATCACATATCATAACAACATCCTAACCAGGATACCGACCTAACCGGTCACTAACATAGCATCATCCTATATACCAGGATACCGACCTTAACCAGGTCTCTAACATACTCCATCCTAATAACCAGGATACAGACATAGCAAGCAATAACATATCAAACAGATACCCGGATTTCAATCCGATAAAGGGCCGGCCTTGGTGCCTTAGACCCTGTTGATATAGTGAGGATAACTCACCTCGCAATTGCCGACTGAAAGGATAAGATCAGCTGCTCCGATCACCGACACGAACTCCACCACCGAACACTACCAAAGAACCAATTCCATAAATACCAAAATCACCAAAATACCCTTGGAAGTCAAACTGGTCAACTCTTGGTCAAAGTCAAAGTCCTCAGTCAAAGTCAACCTCCCTGACTGACTCTACTCGCCGAGTCGACCAGTCGACTCGTCGAGTCCCTATACTCAGAAATTCCCATAACCCGAGTCTACTCGCCGAGTCACCCCAAGACTCGTCGAGTCCAACGATCTCTGAGTCCCATCCTGTCCAACTCACTGAGTCACCCCTCGACTTACTAATTTGCGTCTTAACCAAAAAAGGTTAGGGGTTCTGCGACCAGACTCGCCGAGTCCAAGAACATACTCGCCGAGTCCACGACAATCTTCAATAGACTCGCCGAGTTGTTCTTCCAACTCGTCGAGTCCAAGCTCATCATCATAAGACTCGTCGGGTCACCCATGCGACTCGCCGAGTTACTACGCGACTCAAAGTCTGATCTCTAGCTCGACTCGCCGAGTCATCTCCCAGACTCGTCGAGTCCATACGTGCATTCCCAAAATCTCGAGTCACAGAGCTACTCCTTTGCTCCAAACAATAGATCGGGGTCTCTAGAGTCCATTAGCAACATAAAGTTGCTACCTTTACGTGCTTCTTGCCCCATAATACCAAAAACCAAGCTAGAAGGGACTTAACTCTTGGGGAAAGGCTTTTGCATAGCAACCAAAAGGGCTTTCTGCATCTTTGATCCAAATAGAGCTCAGATCTGGAGTTTCAACTCCAGATCTAACTTATACACCAAGATCTCATCATATCATCTCCAAACAAGCCCTAAAACTTCCATGAAAATGGATCTAGAAAGGGGGAAAGCCAAGGATAACAATTCATTACCTCCAAAACGATCTCTTGCTGAAGAGTAATCTGAATCTCCACAAATCTCCTTGATCCAAGCTTCTTGATCTTCAAGATCTCTTCACAAAACACTTAACAATGCTCCAATTTGCTTCCAATGGCTCTCACTCACGATTCTAGGGTTTCTGGGTCTCAAAGGGGGCTAAGGGAGCTGAGGGGAGGACATTAAGTCCTTTAAATATGGTGCAACCCCAAAGATTAGGGTTTTTCCTCGACCAGCACTGACTCGTCGAGTCCAGCCGCCGACTCGCCGAGTCAGGCCACTTAACCCCGTGCCATGCACCCGCTTCGACTCGGCGAGTCAAGAGACCTACTCGCCGAGTCCCTTCCTTTATTTTCACTTAGCACCCTTCAACTTCTTGCTTCCGAACTTGGGATTTTACACTTCTTTTGAAGTCCTTCGACCCGTATACACAATTATCCGCAAAGTAATCGCGATAATGATGTTCGTGTCCTTCCTCGCGATTTCTATTTAACATCGCACGTCTTGTTAGTAGCGGGGCTGGGTCTGGTTGTAGCAGGTCGATAGTGTAATAATGATACATCATCCTGAAGAAAATATCGTCATTAGAATCATCGGACGAGTCGAAAGGATCCATATTTTTTTTTGAAGATAATTGAAAGTATGTAGAGAGAAGAAGAGAAATTTTGTGAAAATTTTTATAAAATGTTAAGTATTTATAGGGTAAATGATTTATTTTTAATAGTTAAATTTTTTTTTAAAAGAATCGTTGCCAAACGGTTAGTCAATGGAAACGTTTGAAAATAGCCTCGTTTCTTCCGGTTGTGATGCCAACGAGCTTCACCCTTAACGAGCAAAAACGAGAAGGGGGTGGTGTCCCCAGTCACCACGCCGTTATGGCTTGCCACGTCCGCACAACGAGCACGAGAAGTGCCCATACCGTCTCGTCTTAACCACCACTCGGGCTAAAGCAAAGTTGTAATTTTGTGTTGGGTATAACGTTGGTAGGAGACACATGTGATGTAATGACGTGTCATATTTCTTTTGTTATTGTCGCCACTAAAGAAGAAATGTGTAGAACAGTGGACTCTATCTTACGCCCCATCGTTAAACGTGCGCTGCCCTTTTTTGTCACCATTGTCAAATTTCCACCCGCACTCCCTCCGCCCTCCTCTATGTCTGTGTATAACTGTATATAACTATATTATATATAGCCACTCATATAAATCTCAATTCGTCTGTATCGATCGCCGGCGTCCTTAAATCTTTTTCTTTCATCATGAGAATTGAAAATCGATCAACTCTTTCAAGGTAATTTTTAAGTTTGTATACTTCGTATTGTTTGCTTTGTCCTTGTTTCAAACTGTGATAAGTCAGACGTTTGTTTTGTTCAAGTCGATGAATCTTCGCTTGAATTAAGTTATATACGTGGATGGAATTTTATATGATGATTTACGTATGGATAGATTCGTTCTGATTGTTAATTACTGAATCTTAGATTGTTGAGTGTTGACTCTTCGATTTCTAACAAGTTGATCACGATCGAAAAAATAATTTGGTTTTTATTGATCTGTGTAAGTGTTCCCATCGAAGTAGAAGAAAATGACCTCTGTGATGAACCCTAACTATCAGTCCAATTACGTGATGATGTATTAGCTAAGATATGCCCTAGACTCTTTCTTCTTCTGTTTCAATGGTAAACTTTTAAGTTCTTACACTTTATGTGTGTGATTTAGTAGGTTACTGATTAAACACAACGAAATTGTTGCATACTTCATATTTAGTCGTTCTTGTGATTTACAAAACATTCATAAAGCCCGTTTCCCCCTTTCACGACATGTTTTGAGTTCCTGTTATTTGATCATAGAAATCCTTGTCACGTCTTCCCCCTTTTGCGTTATGATTTTTGTAGTTGTTTTTATCAGTATCTTACCTAACTTATTGAAACAGGATGAATGATTTCCATGTGACCATACTACAGTGCCCTTGCAGAATTGAAGTCAGTCATCATTGGTGATTGATTGGATTCCAATTCAAATTCTAAGCTAATGGATCGATGTGATACTTCAGGATTTGTGAGTGGAGGTGGGATGTAGTTTATCATTGTAGCGAGCTAGCTTGTGTATTGTATGTAGCTTAGAAATTAACAACTAACCCTAGATCTGTAGCTTAGAAACACCCAACTGTAGTTTTGTAGATATGAAGCGGAAGTGGAGTTTGAGAGATGAATCAATGGATATGGAAGAAGAATTACCATTATGCCGCTGGTTAAGGGGATCCTCAAGTTCCTCAGACAGCAAGGCAAGTTCAGCCACCATGTCTTATCCAAAAGAAACCGATGAAGTAGAGTCGTCAATGGATTTCAGTCTCCATATTGGTGGCAAGAAAGTCTCTAGTTCCAATAAGCTATCTCTTGATCTTCAAAATCAAGTTGACCTTGAGTTGACTCTCTCCTCTACTCCAACAAGTTCAGTCACCTCTTTATCCGGAATCACACACCACCATCACCATCAAGTACAAGGACATGGTGGTGGTGGTGGAGTTTGTACAAAGAGTGTCCATGGTGGGACCCTTTTTTGTGTAGCACATGGTGGTGGGAAAAGATGTGTTGTGAAGGATTGTACAAGGAGTGCAAGGGGGCGACATGGCGGGGGTAAAAGATGTAAATATGAAGGGTGTGGGAAAAGTGGTGAAGGTAGTAGTGATTTTTGTAAGGTTCATGGTGGGTTGGTGGAGGATAAACGTGTCCATGGTGGGGCCACTTTGGGACCACCTAAGATGGACATGAATGTTGATACAAGTGTTGTTATGACATCAAGAGTCACAGAAGGAAGGATTCATGGTGGAAGTTTTTGATTGCTTTTCTCACAACTGCTAATTTAGATTCAGAAAAAGTCAACATGATGCCTCAGAAGTGGATATAATGTGCTACATTTCTATCTTGGTTCTTGTCATATTTTGTGTATCAGCAAGTGTTGTTGGTTTGCTTTTTCATTTTTCTTGTAAATAGTTTAATCTCCATTCACATCTTGTTCATTGTGTATATGTTATTAAACAATAAAATTCTTCTGGTATATATATATATATATATATATATATATATATATATATATATATAATTCCCGAATTGATTCTTATCTTCTTGGATGGAGTTTTCTTGTGTGCCATTGGCTGGTTCGTGTATGTGACAGACAGTCATATGTTGCAATGATTTATTAAGTGTTAGATATGGATTTGAAGAGATGGTGGAATTTGATATATAGGAGAAAAGAAAGCCCTCTCAGCCAGTGGTACTAGCAACGTATAGCATATATTCACTGTGGGCTGTGGGTGTTTGGAGGGACCTACTTTTCTAATGGCAATCAGAAAGATGTTGGCAATTTAAGTTTGATAGCAATGAGCTTTTCATTTCTTTCACATGTTTTCTTTTGCTTTGTGTCTAGATCTTATCTTAAGCTTCGAATATATGCTATGCGTGTATAAATTTCATCCCATTTTCACCTCATTTCTTGAAAAACTCTAGTAAATACCTCACCATCATCCATGTTTATGTCTAAATCTTGTCTCCACTTTTAAGCTGTGTTTATTACATGACAGATCCCTTGTTCTACATTTTTTAGTGTATCAATAATCTTAATCGCATCAATATCATTCTTATTCTCTGGTGTCTTATTAGATTTGGGAAACTTAACATCATCATGTCTCAGAAGCGGCTACAATTCTATCTTCTTGTCATAGCTTTTTTGTATAACAATCGTCTTTTTCATTATAGGATTACTTTGTATATATATATATATATATATATATATATATATATATATATATATATATATATATATATATATATATATATATATATATATGTGTGTGTGTGTGTGTTTGAGATCGATAGAAATTGGATACCAGAAAATGAAATGAAAATACAAACTCATCGTTCATTTACAACTCCCAACATTACCATTACTTCACTTAGGGCCGGTCCAGACGGTGGGCAACCCGGGCGACCGCCCAGTGCCCACGTCTCCAGGGGGCCCAAAATTTATGGGCTATGTAGTGTATATTTATTAAAAAAATTATTACCTAAATGAATTTTAGGGCCTAAAGTTGGTTCAAACTCAAACTAGCTCAAAACATAAACAATTTGACTTGCTTGTTATTGCTAATTGAATGCGTTACTATAAACAATAAATGATTTTTTTAATCTTTATTATATTTGTCTTTAAGGGGTCCTTTTCTTCTTTTTGCCCCGGGCCCCATATACGTTTGGACCGACCCTGACTTCACTGTTATTTTACTTCTATATGATATAAACAACCAAAATTCTCAAATCCATGTAATATTTTATTTTTGTATTTTTTGTGAACATAATTTTTTCCTTCATGAAATAGCTTTTTTAAACCACTGGAAATAGTATAAGTTTCGCAAACCATACTTAAATTTCAAATTCATGTGTAGTTCTACCTTTGTTTTTTTTTTCAAAACTGCAAAAATGGTCTCTTAGTATGTAGTTTTTTTGGGATTTGGTTCAAACCCTGACTTTTTTGGATAAATGATCTTTTTGAGGTAATTTCGTTGCGTATTTAGTCTATTTGAATATTGAAATGACTGTAATAGTATCATTGACTATTTATTTTCTATTTTTATTTCATATTTTAAAATCTAATTTTTATTTATTTATTTTATTAATTAAAAAAAGGACTCACCTCTCTCTCTCATTACTCAAATAGATAAATAAATAATAAATTTTAAAAAAATGAAAGAAATATGAAAAACAAATACATCAAAGGTATTATAATCATTTCAGTTTACTAAAAGACCAAATACATAATAATATTAACTCAAAATGACCATCAATCAAAAAAAATTGAGATTTGAACAAAAATCCAAAAAAAATACATATCATAGGGACTATTTTATTATTATTATTATTATTATTATTTTGTAGTTTGTTTAATGAAAAGAACATGCCAATAATTAACTTGAAGTTATCACCGAATTAAAAAAAAAGTGAAAGATGTTGCAAGAGAAAACCAAAAAGAAACTTAGAAGGATTAATATATCCTTAGTACTTAAAGACATCTGGAGCAATAATGAACTATATGTTGTAACCCATGATTTCCGTTATGATAATATCATCCATGGAATTTGTTAATACTATATGTTGTAACCCATGATTTCCGTTATGATAATATCATCCATGAAATTTGTTAATACTATATGTTGTAACTCATGATTTTTCGTTATGAGAATATCATCCATGAAATTTGTTAAAGTCATTGATTGCTATCCAAATATTTTCATAATATATAGTCTTACTAATTATATATATTTCTCTGTAGTACATGTATCTAGAAGTTTTCAAAGTTGAAGTTAGTAAAGAATTACTTAAGGTCATCGATGTCACAAGAAATATTGAATCGTTTGATTATCTTATGTATAGAGAAAATATATGTTAGACAGTTAATTTTGATACTATTATTAATGATTTTGCATCTAAAAAGACTAGAAGAAATATGTATATTTAAGTTAGTGGATTTTTCTAAATGGTTTGGTTATCTTTGTATCTTTGAGGGGCCATTTTTCTCCTTTCTACCCGGACCCAAAATATGTTTGATCCGATCCTACAACTCATTCTTTAATAGGTGTATATATTAGAGTCTTGTGCACAATAATTATCACCATAAACTTACTTTACCAATAACCTTTCTCTTGCTTGACAAGAAAATTCATTAATTCTAATTGTAACATTCCAAAATATTAAATGTTTAGGATGTTAGTACAATGGAATCAAATGAACCTGAACTCGAAACAAGTCATTGTGAAGAGCTAAGAATTGTAAGTTACAAGAATGGAACAAGTTAGTGAACAATGTCAAAATTGATTACTAATAAACAAGTTGAGATTAGAAGTCTTTGATTACGACCAAGTAATGCAATGATAAAGTTGTAAAGAAAATACTCTAAGTGTTTAAAGATAGATAAAATAATACAAAGACATTAAAGAAGCATCTTGACATTAGAAGTTTTGGATTCGAACATTATAAACAAGCTTATGAATGGTGAATAAAGGTATAAGACGTACATAGTGGGACTATTGATAAGAATGAAAGGAAACAAGTAAAATATGATGATTTCACAAAATGATAAGTTCATTACTTTAGATTATGATATGAATGATATATAAAAATTGAAATGTGTAGTTGAAACAATAAATAAGATAATGCAAAAGGAATTAAGTCATTTGAAGTTAAAATGAAGAAGTTATGCCATTTTGAAAATGATAGTTACTAGATTTTGATGATTTCAACAACTAACAACCTATGTTTGAGGTTATAAAAATTAGGCCTAAGTTCAACAAAATCATATTTTTTTGATTCGAGCTTCTTGTTGAGGTAACAAAGTACACATGGCAAACAAATAAACCTAATTTGAGTTCGTATGAGAGAGTTATGAGTGTTTAAAGTTTAGGAAAAATCTTGCATGAGTTGACCAAAGAACATTGCCTAAATAGGAAAGTTTGAAGCATTACATGATCTGTATATTTTTAGGCACAAAAAACATGGCCCATGTAACTTTTTCGAACAAAAATTATGAGATTAAAAGCATAGGTCGGGCGCTTGCTCTCCATTACTCTATGAGACATTGTGAAACATTTCAGGTTAAGGAAAGTGGCAATTTTAGAGACCCTTGAGCTTAATGTTGAAGTAAACCAAGTAATTTCAAAAGGGAAAGTAGTCTTTAACATTTAAAGACCTAAACTATAACATGTATTACCAAATGGCTTTTGGCCTATAGGTATAAATAGTTGACTTTCAGGTGCCTTTTATGCAAAGATCGAAGGTTTAAGTCATGTTTGTGACGAAATATATAGATTTAAGAGTATATAATGTTGGAAATTATAATGGAATAAGTAATTGGCTAGTTTTCATTATCCCACATTGGTGGGGGAAGAAACCTTTTGTGAGCTTATAAACTATTTCTCTTAGTAGGCCTTCAAAGGCTTTAGTGGATCAAAGGAATGATCCAAGCCCACGCGCGCACCTAGCCTAGCCTATCCGATGCCACAATGCACAAAATGGTGCGATTTAGGCGCATTTGGCACGACGCATCGGGAGCTGAGGAGCTTTTAGTTTTGGTGAGTTCAGCTCAAGTCGGTTTGAACGATCCGATCAAATGGTTGACCAACGTTGACTTCATGGATAAGGTGACAGAATATTCTAGAAGGTTCAGAAAGCGGATTGCTTGGAGAGCAAGTTGTCGCCCTAGCGTTTCTAGGGGATGACCTATGAGGGTCCTTTTACTGCCTTTGTAACATCCTAATTCTTGGAGGTATTTAAATTTAATGTATTTTTGATTGTGGGTGGGACCATGTTGTGGTGAAGGCATCCCATGACGTGGTGATGGTTGATGTATCACAGATTTTAAATGACTGCCATGGCGTGGCAGCCTATGGTCACGACGTGGAAGCTGTTGAATGAGAAACCATACTATCTGGGGTTTGCGCCCATATTTAAGGAAATGTGATGGCCATGGTTGCTCACCCTCGGCCTCCATCACACTCTCTCAACCTCCAAACAAACTCGAAACTCCATTTTGCTCTCTAAGCCTTTTGTGTTGATTTTTGGGGATTAGAAGAAGAAGAAGGTGTCATATGGACTTGGATTCAGCAAGCAACTATTCTCATCATCTTGCTGTGCATCTTCTGGACTCTTGTATGTTCTCAAGTTCTAAGATTTTAGGTTTTTATGCATAGATCTAGGTTTTAATGCCTTATTCTTCATGTTGAGACTCATTGGTGAGAAAAAGAAGAAGGTGTCATTTGGACTTGGATTCAGCAAGAAACTCTTCTCATCATCT